AGCATCATAGGAGCAGAGAGGCCTCTCTGCTCCTATGATGCTGCTTGGCCTGCTGTGTTCATCCAGCCCTGCACCTTGTTGTCTCGGATTCTCCAGCATCTGCAGTTCCTACTATCCCATATTATTATACCTTCACTTTGAAAAGCCTGGAACTCCCTCCCTTACATGGGCTGGAGCGGCTCAACAAAGCAGCTCCTTCTCAAGGGCAATTAGGGATGGCCAATAAGTGCAGGCTCCATTGGTGATGCTTATATCCCTAAAGTGAGTAAAAGATAAACCACTTGTTTCAGCAGATACAACCCTTCATTCCTGTGCTTTGATGCTGAGTCCAAACAATGTGTTCAAAATAATTCCAATGGATGTTATCATGATGTATATTGAAATGCTTTAGTTGATTATGAAAATAAGTTCTTAGTTATTTTGGAATGTTATTGTGTAATGTTTATAAACATTAAGAATGGAAAGCAAATTAAAATTGCATCCAGGCATGACCAGAATGGCTTCACTTCTGGTCCATTGTTAACAATTCTTTTCATCTTGGATTGTGTTGTCTTATCTCTTTTCCAAACTAACAGGAAAGGTAAACACAGCAATAAAATATCGTGTTTATAAATATCATCAGATTCCTACAATCATAGTTCATATCATGAATGGTTACTATCCATGGCTGTAGCTATAGCAATACTGAAATGTTTTACATTACAAAATGTAGAGGGAAGGGCAAACCCCATAGTGCAGGATAGAACCAATGTTGCAAAGAATAGGAGAGAAAACAAATTAAATAAATTGTAGCAGTTAACTGAAACTAAATAGGTTGTACATGTTTTAGATTGTAAGAAAAGATGAAGTTGAAGGAGGTACAACTTCCAGTTTTGGCTCACCTGCGAAAGAATAAGTTAAAGTGAGATCAATGCATTGCCTATAATAGAGGGCTTAGGAATTTCCTGGTCAATTTCTGGACTGGGTTCATAAACTCAGTTAACTTTCAGCAAATATGATTTCAAAATAGTGCTCAAACACAAGTTTATTCAGTTAATCTATTACAAATGTTATTTTTTGCAAGGAAAATATTTAAATGAATGTTTTTACTTAGATAAAACAAACATTTAGAGATAGCCCTTATTTACTTCTGCTACCTGGTGATTTGCCGAAAATGGGTCTGTCATATTTTTGCAGGAAGAGTGGCTTAAGTATGTATAATTGAAATTGTTGCCTGTCTCATACAACAGTACCCTGTTCCCATACTAACTGATATATTTACAAAAGAAGCCAGTCAGAATTTTGAAAAATAGCAACAAAACAATTTCTGCATGATGTATGCACACGATGTGTGGAATCTTATTGGTCCTTGATGGCGGAAGAGAGAATGAATTTGCCAGAGGCAAGTCACCGATGGCAGTGACCTATGTGCCATGTAGCAGCACTTCATCAGTAATTCTCAATTAAAGCACTATTGAGGGTGACAGGGAAATCTCTGTCAGAATTTCCTATGTCAAAGTGGAGTACTGAGTGCTGAGCCCAGCAGGTTGTGGAAGAGGCATTCTGGTAGCAGATGAGTGCATCATTAAAGCTGTAGAATTTCCAAACCCCAGTAACAGTGCCACGGGCTAACAGGTCTTACCCACATTTTCTCCAGAGAGCTATTCCCTCTGCTCTGGGGGTTTTTAGCTTCAGCCATCAGCAGGTTTATATTTTAAGTATATGTCTGAGTCTCCCCGTGTTTATTGGAACTCCTGCAGTCTTCTTGCTGCCTGAGCAGTGCCCCCCTCTCCCACTCTGCTGTTTACATTCCAAACTGCAAGTCTTTCGATCGAGTCTGCAGCCTCAGGAACCCACCAACTATCTATAATTGAACAGGGATCCTGAAGTAGTCTCTTAGTTGTCTGTATCTAAGAAGATCTTGCAGGCCACCAGTACTCACCAACTAGGAAGTCAGAACTGTTTTTG